CCATCACCATGGGCAGGTTTTGCTGCAACATACTGAATGAGGTTTTCAAGGCAGGCAGAAGCACGCAGTAATGAAAATATGAGAATAACGGCCACTGTCGAATCATTTACACGGCGACACATGGCCGATGCAGAGTTTGCAGGTACAGCTTTCGTTAGTAGGAGGGTGTTTTTGAAGCCGCGTTCATTTAATTTAGACTTGTACGTAACTTCTATTCTTCGTTTCAAACTACGACTACCTTCGCTGATGTGCCTTACAAGCTTGTTTATATGGGCGATTGCCTCTAGTTCATTGCAGTTGGCCAGGTCCGTAAATGTTTTCAGCAAAAGTTGTAGCGAACATCAGTGGGACGAACAAAGCAGCCTCACTGTGTAGTGTCCTTAGTGATTCGCATTGCATTGTTTCGAACGCACCTGAAGGTGCGAGGAAGACAATGCAATACAAATTACGTAAGCGGCCCAATCTACAAAAAATTCGTGCTAACGTCACTTTTATGTATCGGTTGGTGTAGTTCTAAATACAGCACTAAATGCCGCTTCAATACAGCGAAACCTGGGGAAGTACGTAGCACGAGTACCCGGTGATTGCCATTTGTATTGTTGCTGCTGCTTGTCTACCAAAGCATTAATGACGTCGATGTTTGAGGTAAACATGTAGCTATTCCGCAGCATGAGGGTACAGACTTGTTGGGTGGATGCCCAAATTGGTTGTGCCACATAGGCGCTACTTTTTGCTGCGCTTTATCGAATGCCCACTTATGGCAGTTGAGAAACGGGTCATGTACATCGAGTTACGTCAGGTTATTTCCCTCGTCAGACGTATGAGGAAGTTGCCGGAGAAGCACTGGTGAGAAAAAATCACGTGCATGTCGGGATAGTGGTGCCCTCTCTTGCATGCTGTGGGTGTCAGTCGCATGTTTTTGAAGTGTTTTAGCAATTTTAAGTAAATATTGTGATTACTTATTAGCTATTTCGTTTAACTAAAGTAATTGCGAACTTGCTCATTTTCTTCATCCAGATTTTAAGCATGATTAGTCTTGTTTTAGACTTGTATTGACCACTTGATTGTTTGCGTGATCACATCACACGAGATCAATGGGTGGACGAGAAGCCGGACACTTAAAGTGCTACGCAGTACTTCTAGGTATATCTTAGCGTTCATTGGTTTACAACCACGTATGCAAGTGTTCTCACTCTGAGTGATCACTATCCCAGTTCATATCACTGCTGACTACATCTGCGCACAAATTTACCAACTTGATTTTCGCAACTTTGCTCACCTGCGCTTTAAAAACTTTGAAAGTGCTGTCAACTCCCAGCGTAAGAGTATATACTTTTCCTAGTTTGAAAGCAGTCTCCGAGAATCTCTGGCAGTCCACTGGAGCGTACTTGTATATCCGAGATCAAGATTCGGAATAATGTCATGGAATATCAGTGACTACGCTTCAGCTGCCCGACCTTGGAGGCCATACTAATTTACTTAGTGTTTTAACGTTGTTGTGGACGTTGTATGTCGTTGTGTGTCGTTGTGACGTCATCATAGCGACACACAACGTTGTTCAACGTGTGTCGCTATGATGACGTCACCAATAATGGCTATCTGTGAAAGTCACTGAGTCATCATGTGATGACTTTTTTTTCATCACTAGTGTTGTCGCCGCAGGCGCCAACGGTTAATTACAGCGTTTGATGAAACGTGTCAGGACTTCGCCTTGACAATGAGACAAGGCCGACTTCTCTGGTGCATGAGACGGAGCCCTGATTCCTGTTATGTAACCAGGGGCGTACCAACTCTTTCGCTTGGGGGGGGGGGGAAACCTAAATCACTCGTCAGCTGATATATATATATATATATATATATATATATATATATATATATATATATATATATATATATATATATATATATATATATATATAGAGAGAGAGAGAGAGAGAGAGAGAGAGAGAGAGCGTGCAACCAACAGAGGCCGCTGTCGAAAGTGGGGGGGCTCGTGCCCCCCTTGCCCCCCCCCCTCCCCGCTGGTACGCCTGTATGTAACCCAGAAATCCAATGTGATTAGATGTAACCCGTACGGCATGTTTGCTCCTTGAAATGTTGTAAGGCATAAACGTGCTACATTCGTGGAAGTGTTTTCGAAAACATTTTGTTTTTCGCACAAGATCTTTGCGCAAAGGTCTTTCCGGTGGTTGAGATGCAACAGCTTCGACTGAGACAAACAAGTTTACTGCTCAGAGCGCAGTGGCGTAACTATCTGCTCCACAGCCACAGCAATGTTCCCAGCTTGTTGACCACGAAATTCACAAGAGGGGCAATTCTCGGCAACCAATAATCAATTTGTATATTATAACCAATTCTCATTACATTTTGCGTCTGATAACTCCGCTCATCTTCTAAAATTTTACCAACAGTGCTCTTAGCGCCATCTCTTGGTTGCACACGCAAGTAATACATGGTGCTCACGTCGCGAGCAGTCGCTAGGTGGCATGTGCAAGGAGTAGTCTCCTTGCAGCATGTATACTGCAGCGGAAGTGTATGTATGTAGAAAAATTTTGAACTGTATTGCCCTCTCCTGCATGGACCATACTTGGTCCGCAGTATGTGATAAATAAATAAATAAATAAATAAATAGTAGCAGTGTCAACTGGACCCACGAGGTTGGCAAAAAAGAAAAATCGCCGCTTCACAGAAACTATGATTACTTTTCACACAGAGTGCGCACAAATAATACACCGAATTAATTCACAGCAGCCTGGCTAATCACCTGGTTTACTGCTCCATAGGGGTGGAAGTGATTTTAAATAAAGAAAAAATGAAAAGTGAACACTGCAACCACCTGCAGCAAACAGCGACACCTATGTAGTAGTTCAGAAGGGAATGGTTGCAGAGGAATTAAAAGAGATAGGGAGAGAAGTAAAGATAGAGAGAGAAGTAAAAGATTGGGAGACGGCACGGAGGAAGGATTCCTTCCTCCAGGGGGGACGGTTAGAGAAGTCCACGGACAGGGCGCCTATCGGCGAGTAGTCGTCGAAGAGAGGATATCGCGGACTGCCGTCTCGCTGCTCCCTAGTTAGCAATCCGAGTCAAGTGTTAACTGGAACAATGACAAAGATTGGTATTCGCTTGATCGCTACTGTACACTGCTCAGTCAGTGCTGTCAATTCGCTCCTCTGTTTTCGGGCCAAGTAGGGAGCCAAGTATATGTTCATTTTATCACTAACGTTCATATTTCGGCTTGTCAGATGCATAGCTAAGGCATAATGGCTCCGCTGACGTACATCATATCATAGTGATTGCGACCATCTTTGCTCTCCTTCCGGCAACTTCAGCTTGAAATGTGCATGCGATGCCTGTACAAGCTTCAAGATTTGCTAGAAGTCGGGGACGGCAGCATCTAAGCGCACTAAAGCACGATATCTCAAGTCCCGGATCGTATGCTAATGTCCAATGACGTTTTACATGATGTGATTGTTATGCGTTGACACACAGCAACAATATCATATTTTGGCCAGTCTTTAATATGATGCACAATTTTCGGCCGCTATTGAAAATTCGTTTGGACCTATCGTGGAGGCTTATATAGGTGCCACGGTGTTCTGCCTACTGAACATAGAATAAGGTGCACTGAGATAATGCCGGCCGACTGTGAACGTATAACTTTTGCTTAGGTGCATGTAGACTGAAGTTTTTCTACCATTTTTCAATTAAGACGTTGTAGCGATTAATTAATCCCACGACCTCTTGCTGAGCATTACAACGTAATAGTCATCGTGGCAGGCGCTGTCTTTTATTGCTTATATTTTCTCACAGAAGCAGGCTAGACCTGGCGTAAGAGCATTTGCTTTGTTTCCAGGAAAGAAACACGACAATTCCAATGAATACTTTTTTTCGCGTAAAACGAGCAGGATTTTTTTTCCCCTTCCCAATGGCGATTGATTTTTCCTGCACGTAGGTTATGTGGCACTGAACGAAACCGAATGAAGCATGCCTGCATGTTTTGACTGAACGAACGAAGGTAAATGCATATCGTTCCCAAGAGTTCTCGAAAAGGAGTCTGTTGTTTTTCGTAATGCATGAGCAATGTGCAATAGTTAAAGTGAGATTCTTCATAGAAGATGATAACTTGTGGAAGATTTTCAGTTGAAATGTGTTCGCAAACAGCATGGAAAGGCATCCTGAAGCACTGTGTCAGAAGCAGCACAGTTCTCTGCGGGTCGTACACTTCAGTTTTGTAAAATGTTAAATTTTTTACGCTGAATGCCACTGCCATTTTAGGCGAGCGGAAAACGTCTCCTATACAGCAATAGTTTATTCCTTCCGCTGTGTAATTAGACTAACAATATTTATTATACTTTCCGGAAGCGTTTTGGATATTTAGAAGAAAATAATCGTGGTTGCCGTGTACACGAATCTGAGGAGAGTTCACCCAAGAAGGCGAATAAACAGGATGCATTTTACAAAAAAAAAAAAAACACCAAGGCAGACAGTCATGATAGCGTGCATTACATCCAAGCAGGTCATTGTCATCATGAAGTATACATTTGGCGTTCTTCAAGTGCATTAGTGACGAGAACTCACTGAATACTGGGACGAGGTCAGAGGAGCTTACTGTGGTGATATGAACGATACACAAAAATAGAGACACGATATTGTCTATGCTGCGTCGTCTTGTAGACTTATATTCGCACAGATAAAGCACGTGCTTTGAGCTAACTTATTGTGAACCACACTGTGGGCTAGCAGGCAATACATGTACCTACTACCTGTATTAAGATTGTAGCGAATGCTACGTTTTCTTGCAATCTCGATCTGTTCAGACTGCCACGAGACACGAGGATTCCCCATAGTTTAAATGTGTTATGTTTTATCCCTTATTCCGTAGTGCAGCCGTTTCAATGTCGTCACCTAAAGTTTGAATTTCAATGCGCACGTTTATTCCACCCATCAGTTGCTCTAATGGCACCTCTTTTGCTTCTGTTTTTTTTTTTTTTTTTTTGCAGTGCTGCTGCAGACCATGTGCGGGTTAGCGCAAATACACGACAAAGACAGAATCTTCAGGTTCTGGCTGGGGTTCAGGCCTGTGGTATCTTTCTTCAAAGCAGAAACAGTAGAGGTGAGTTGCGTGCATTTAGAACATTCAAGGCGACTGTGCTGGTCGCTGTCTGCTCTGCACGAGTAGATTCACTAACGTGCATTTTTTTTTCACTTCTACTTTTCCAGGTCATTTTAAGTAGTAATACCGTTTTAGATAAATCTTTTGACTACACATTATTACACCCCTGGTTGGGCACAGGTTTATTAACAAGGTGAGAAATCTTTTTTCCTTCCATACCTTCAAACGCAATAACAAAATAATAAACGAACTAGTATGAATTATATAACACACTCACAAATAAAATATATATTAGGTTCAACTTATATAATTCTCACTCTTAGCGCTCTTTTGATGTTCGCTTCGGGAAAGTCGCAATAAACGAAGAGTACGGTTGTATGGTGTAATCGCATGCAGAATAGCCATACCAGAGGCGCTTCTTTAAAATGTCCGCCAGCTCATGGTAGCGAAAGCTGAGAATCCCTGAGTTGGCTGACTAGGTTTACTTATCGAGCTTTTAATTTCTCACTTTTAACGGTGCAGCTTTAAGAAAGCCCGTAGCAAGAAATAACGTAAAAAGCATCTATTTCGGGATCGTGGTGCGTTAGGTAACAAGTTGGTAATAGTTCATTGAGAAACAGGGCAAAAAAGAAATAAAACACCAGAGAAGAAGACACAAAGTTGGTGTTTCCTTCTAAGTTGTTTGTGTCTCGTTTTCTGGTGCGTCGTTCGTTCTCATGGTGTTCAGCAGTAATGCATAGTAGGAGTGAGTGTACAAATGATTCTTTGATCCTCTATTTGAGATTGCATATTACTGCACAGTCGTTTTTTTCTCTCGCAGATTTCTGAAAAAAAAAAAAGATTTGGAATAGATTAATGATTTGCGGTTTCTCGAACCACGTGCAAAGGGCGTGAGCGTGGGGCCTGTGTAAAAAATAAACACCACTAAGTCTGTTTGTGCTCTGTTTATATCGAGCTACAACATCCAAAATTGATTAGTTTAAACAAAATAGGCGAGCTCATAACAACGCTTCAAAAATCAGCAGTCGATTAGTCTAATTGTGTGTCCCTGGAGATATTGAACAGAACGTTATCATACATGACTTGAGAATGTCGGTCCTACATTCAGCCAGAGTGAAGACAACGCCTTTTTTAATGTTGAAATTTATTAGACCTGGCGTATGTGTGCGGAAAGTGTGGTTGTCTGATGTGCCTCGTGGTCTCCCAGTTCAGGCAACAAATGGCGGCGGAGAAGAAAGATGCTAACGCCGGCCTTCCATTTTCGGATACTGGAGGACTTCATTCCAGTATTCAATGAGCAGGCCGTGATATTCGTGAAAAACCTCAAGGAGCAGCAGAACAAAAAGTACATCGACATTGTTCCTCTGGTCACACTCTGCACGCTCGACATCATCTGCGGTGAGCTGGACCATCGTCGCTGTAGTCACAGTTTGAACGCGTTTCTCGTTCCTACTAAAAAGACAGCAGGAGCGTCAAATGAATCCATAGTTTGCTTTTTCCTTTAAATTCAAATTAGCTATTGACGACGTTGAAGCTATTGAAGCTATGGAAATAAATGGAATGCAACAAACGTAATTAGAAAATCGGGAGGTATATAGTGTTATGTATCTATATGAGGTTGAAAGACAGAATTTCGGCTCCAGAGGAGGCATCGCTGACTCTTCATTGAAAGCTAAGAATAAAAATGAAACAATGAATTCACTCTTAGAACCCCTAAAAAGCTCTGACGCTTCATAACGCATTAAAATAACAGGTCGTATTAGCATCCGAAAACGGCGAGATGTCGTCATGAGAGAAGCTGTAATGGAGGGTTCCAAAATAGGTTTGGCCACCTCAAATAACATAATGGGTGCACAAGGACCTTTGATGCAGGAATTCAGAGAAACAGGAGTGCACAGTGAGAAATACACTTTTGTGAAGAAATGAAAGTAGAAAAGAGGAGTCCGAAGACAAGCACAGATGTGAACGCGTCTGAGGTGTAACGTACGTGTAACGTGTGAATACTTGGGAAGCGACATAGCATAACCACTTGACGTTGTAAAATAATCTGAAGTTCCCAAAAGCACGCTTATGACTTGTTAAAACGAGACAATTGTAATGTTGTATACAGACATGAATATTTCAGAAATTTAACGCTAAGACATTTGTATTTTACTACAAAAATGACAAAAAGAAATAACCCTCAAATATACACGTGCTGTCCCTGTGGCTGTACTGATGGCCGTGTGAACGTTTCTTGAGCGTAAGTGGTTGACGGCCTGAAAAAAATCATTCCATCTTTGAATCTCGCCGTCACATTTTGTGTCGTAGTTACTTGAAAGGAAGAGACCGCGACGCAGAGCGTATTGTAATCTGTGCAATACGTGTCCCATACAAAGCGCAACAAGCCACATTAGATTTTATATGCGAGAGCTCTACATCCTAGAAAATAAACAATGCACGCGCAGAAGCCCTTGAAGCCTTCTGGAGTGTTCCAAATTTTAAATTAGTCTAGAGCGCCACAACATTTTCTTTTAACGGATAAAAAACAAACTGCTGTTTGTTTGCATTATGTGGTAGATCGCATTTTCTAATCGTTGCAACGATTACATGCGGACTTTTCGTCTTCGTTCTTTTCAGAGACCGCAATGGGAGTGAAGGTTGATGCTCAATTAAACAGTAATTCTCACTACGTTCGCTCCTTGTACGAGTGAGTATTTCAATGCACTAGCTGCATGTTTTCACTTTGTATTTTCTTTTTAACGTAAACTTGCGGGAAATTGAGCCAGCCTATATGCGTAATCGAAAAAAAAACACGTACGTTGGAAGGAAACAATAATTGTGCAACAAAAACCTCATAAAGCATTGAACACGTGAGAGTTACTTCTTTCAGCCTTTCTAGGGTGCCGCAGACTTGGTTATCTTATGTTCACTGAGTGAAATCGTGACAGAAAATTGAAGTTAGTAAACCTTCATATGAAGCGATTTCGTAACGTATGCAGGAATCCGACGGGGCTTAACTGTGACAATGTGTAGTTGTGATCGTAGACGTGTGAGCAAATAGCTGTGTTACCAATTTATTTTGATCACCGTTTTCTCGGTGTCATTTGTTTTACGAAATTACAATTTAGACTAGTCAGCTGGAGGCTGAGTAGCCTAAATTCTGGAGTCTGGATTCTGGAGGACTGAGTCGCATAACGGTACGTCTCTCCAGTTACCATAGATTGGAAGTATGTCATCTCTCCGAATGTTATATTCTGAAAATATAGAGAACAAAAAAGGAGTAATTATGATTCAGAAAACTATAATGATTTTCCGGGAGAAAACAGCCAACAGAAGCGCATATGCTGGTTCTTGCATGTAAGAAAGGAAACCTGACCTCATTTCCTTGCCTTCGTGCGTAGAACCGGTGCACGAGGCCTAGCACTTCCTTCAGCATCTTTTATTGGCATGTATGCAGCGTTTGTTTCAATATCACAGAACTATCAGCAGAACTGAAGGTGATTATTTGGAGCTCTGCTTTTTTTTGTGCGCGTAAATATGACAGAAGGGTGCGTCTACAGTGAGTGAAAGTGTGAGTGTGTGTATTTGAATAAACAGTGAACAAGTACCAACAGAGACTTCGGCGCTCGTCTGGGAACACAAATCACAAGCATAATAGAGATAATAACTGAGATGGCATTCGATATATCAGCTTTAGTCGACATATATGGGACCAGTGCGTCTCTATTGCTGCAGCACCTCATTGTTCAGCACCCTTCGATGCAACAATACGTGTTGACACATAGATGATGCTCAAAAAGGTTGATTCAGCTAAATAGTTTTAAATGCGAAGGGGTGGCACGTTACTAAAAAGAGACCAAGCTCGTGGCGAAAAAAAAAAAAACGTTTTATATTTTTTTACTCTTGGGAGTAGTGAATTACGTTATTCGTTATTAGTGAATAAAATCTCACTCATACAGAGAAATGCTGCCGTACTGTACTGCTGAGTACAGTACGGCAGTTATGTCTGGCAGTAGTCGCTAATGAGGGTCAAACTAGCTCATAAAATTCAAGCCTTTCTTGTTGCATTTACGACGTAATCCCTTAAATTGAGTTAACCCTGTAAGCCACTTATCTTTTTGTTCGACATTGCCCCAACAAGCGCCCGTAGCTAGTTTGAATTTAAACAGGGACAGTATTTCAAGCGTCAATTGGTCATGACAGAACAGCTTATTTAATCATTCACGCTGCTGTTTCAATCAGATTGCATCAACTTCCCGTGTTTAGCGAGATAAAATATGTTTCAACCTTTTTTACTGCTCGGCTATCTATTTTTTTTTGTTCTGAACAACGAAAGAAATATACGAGATTACGGTTGCGGAGAGGATGTGCAGTTCTCGTCTTTGAGATGTGACCACAGATTTCTCTTTCTTTTACGCCGTGCTTCTTTTTCTTAAGAGTGGGCGAGACCTTCATGGCGAGAGTGATGAGGCCATGGCTATGGCCAAACTACGTCTTCTACATGTCCTCGTTCGGGAGGAAGTTCAAAGACAACCTTGCGCAGCTGCACAACTTCACAAGGAAGGTAAGTACAGAGAGAAAGAACTAGGCACCCGCCGACGGTAACATGATTCATGTCATAAGCGCCAAATAATTAATACGCGCCAATTAGGAGAGAGAAAGAGAGAGAGAAGAGGAAGGCCGGGAGGTTAACCAGATATTGGCATCCAGTTCGCAACAAGTATGTTCTGAGTGCTGTGCAACTTCAAGCGAGGTTTAAGTTATCATCCACATGCCGTAACAATATGCCAGCAAGGCTGGGCGCATTTTGATATAAGTGAAAAATAATCTTTTCGTAACACTATGAAAAACGAATCCGTGTTTAATTGCTTTAGTGTCACGTCCAATTCCAGAGATAGCACAACCTATTATGACATCTCTAAAACGTACTTCTCTTTTTGTCATGTACTCATATTATGTTGAAGCGAGTAGTCTGTGTGATGGACTTGTGTTAGGACGACCGGGCTGATATGTTTTGCAGTAGTCGCTGAAGTATCAGCAATTGTTGTTTGTGCTGAAGGGCTTCGATTGTTTTGGTAATGAACTTATCTCAGCCGAAATTGACAACATAACATGTCATCGAAATGCCTAAACTTGCTGTTACAACGAAATTTATTTGCAGTTACCACAGCTTCTTTATCCCGCAAAGGACCTTCTTGCTGCGTGACAAACGTTTTCTTTTGAGAGAACAGAGCTGAATTCAGCAGTCTGTGTGTTGTTACAAATTAGCTAGCGAATTATAAGAAACGCTTGTAGAATAGCAGAGATGTGCTGTCACAACAGAAATGCTCCTGAAATAACGCGAGAAACGTGTTGCAACACGACAAACGTGCTGTATCAGAGCACAGAACTGTTGACACAACGGAGCCCAAACAGAGCCTCATGAGATATGACAGATGATAGGTTAACAGCATGTCATATCCCAAAATACAAGACATCGGAATTTTTCGTCGTTATATTCTGTTGTATTATTCTAAACAAATGTGACTCAAATGTGCGAAGTATATAGGAAATGAGAGAGTATTTATGTATATTATGGTGAATATGCAGACAAAATACATTGTGCCTGAAGAACCCAAATATTGCAGGTGATACGCGAAAGAAAGGCTGAGTTGCTTGAACAGAAGGTCATTGACGGCCTTACCATCGGAGAACCAGTGATCGGACAAAAACGGCGGCAGGCCTTCCTGGACCTCCTGCTCAGCCATCACATTCAGGATAGCAGCCTCACAGAAGAGGATATCCGGGAAGAAGTAGACACCTTCATGTTTGAGGTACCCGTCAGGAAGTTGGCCACATTTTCAGTAGAGCTGTCATTTATCACCAAGTGCGCAAAACTATGGGTAATAACTGTGCCGCGTTAAAGGTTACTAATACGAATCTTTATGGCATGACGCACCCGAAGCAGTCACGAGCCTTCGTCGAGGTAAGTAGCTGAGATTCCATCCTATGACTACAGGTCTTCACTCACGGAGAAAATAAGGCCCCTAGGTTGTTTTTTTTTATTGTGGCACACTTATACCGAAACAGGAAGCCATTGCTCAGATATCTCGCCCAGACGTCTGACCTGGGTGAAACGATTCAACTGAGACGGCTTCCTATGCATGTCTTCACTAACTTGCATCAAAAGTTATTCAACTGTTATCTGTTACACCTAAAATAGGTATTCCAAAAAAAAGAAACACTTCACTTGAAAAAGAAAACAAAAGAGATGTACCTCTCTGCCCCGACCGACCCACGGGCGTTGTTGGTGCAAATAACGAAAGACTCCAAAGTTTTATAGTACGTGAAAGATGCCACCACCTCCCCGAAGGGAATCGTGAAGAAATGCGAATGCATTGCGTAGCGTCCATAACGGCATTTCGCACGTGAGAACCAAGCGTTACTAGAATAACGTTTTAGTTTTTTTTTTCTTGCACCATGCAGCCAATAGCACTGTTCGCCGCACGTGGAGTTTTTCTGTCGCGAGAAACGCGGTATGCGTTTCAGGTCTAGTAGCTAGCGCGCGTGGTTAAAAAATACTATGAAGTGAACAAAGCAAACAGTGTTCTCGGCTTGCCGTTGGCGTTTCACAGCGGCGTCTCGAGCACACATTTCCGAATGTTCTTGCTGATGGGAAAGTAGGGCGCAGAGAGGAGAGAGAGTGAAGGGTCAGAGAAGGAGCGGCGAAGCACTCCACTATACCCTCTTCTACACTCTCTCGCACCACATGCTCCGGTTGCTAGGGGGGAGGATAAGCGCGCGCGCCCGCAGCTGTAGCTATAGGAGAGAGCGGTGGACGGATCCCGACGGACGCCTGACACAGCCCGATTAAGAAATACATTCTCAATATAAAAGTGCAGATTGCTGCGAACTGAATGTCCCGTTCAAATTGAATCCTTGTCTGACCAGCCCTTTCGTATGCATAATATGGGAAGCCAACTTAACAGGCAGTTCTTGCAGCCACCTGCACTGTTTTCTTGAGAGTATACCTTATTAATAACAACTAAGTGCTGACCGCGAGCTGACAAATGAGCAAAAGCGTTCCTAAAGTTCTGCCTCATTTTTAGTAAGGGTTTGCATCCCTTAGATGCGTTCCGTGATGAGCTGGAAGCGGGCGAATCGGTGCTCGATTTCTAACATACCATGACATTCGCTGCACTACAGGCTGAAGGGGCTATGATGGTGTTGAATAACATACCGAACACTATTTATTCTACGCTTGCACTGACAAAAAAGTACAGTGGTAGACATTCTCCGCTTCGCTCTGTTCTCGTTTTGTCAGGGCCACGACACCACGGCCATGGGTATCTCGTGGGCAATGTACCTTATTGGGCTCTACACGGACGTTCAGCAGAAGATTCACGAGGAGCTGGATGCAATCTTCGGAGAGGATAGAGAACGTGCCATCACACCTGACGACCTCAAAGAAATGAAGTACCTCGAGTGTGCTCTGAAGGTGCCTGCCCATTTATTTGTTTGCTTATTTTGTTTTTTCACTTACGCACTGTAGTCAGCGTTTATTTAAGCACTATTGAGTTTTTATTATTGGTTGTAATCTATTTTATTATGAGTTGCAAGACTCATGCACGTAAACAAGACCTTTTCCAGAATCGTCAGTCACGAAATTGAGAAACAGGGCTGTTCTGTCGGACTATCCCGCAAGTGTAACCACCCTAACATGCAATATTTAACGTACGTTCCTACTACACTCGATGAGTCAGAAACTACAGAAATGGGACCAACAGTTGTTCTAAGCATAGTTATCGACAGCGTGGAAATTTCAACGCCAAACGCTGCGTGACTGAAGCAGATTATCGCTATATTTTTCCTACGCAAAAACAAAGTAGGCTTTCGTGAGTATCTAATATCTTTAAATGTGACCACTGCCAAGAAGGCTAAAAAAAAACAGTTGCATTTATTTTCAATTCTAACGCACAACTTTGTGTACTTAGTCTTATCACATTGCCACAGAAAAGCAGTTTACAGGCACTGAACTCCAAGTTTACAGGCATAATTCATGATTTTAGAATTTTCTTTTCGCAGTTTCTCTACGCTTCCCTTCTACTTGGAAGCCAATAAAAGTGAAGATAGTAAAAGTCAATTTGTTTGAAAATCTCTATTTGCATTTTGTAACAACAAAGCTGCATTAAATCTCAGATCGCCTTCTAAATTCAAACACTTAGGGGCAATTTTCGCACCGATTTTCTTCGCCTTTCAGGAATCACAGCGACTATTTCCATCAGTGCCATTCATTGGACGAGAACTAATGGAAGACGTGGTAGTGAGTAAGTAGATCTTTTTTTTTTCTTCTTACTTGAAGGACACGAAGTCCAATTTGTGCTATTTAAGTGGGCATTGTTCTTAAATGCATATTTACACGTTTTATAAAACATAGTGCAGAAGTATTTCACTCCCTAATTCCCGTTTAAATAAGAAATAGCTGCTACATTTCACGAATGGCGCAGCGTTATCACAAACCTTCTGTTAATACGAAAATATTGTGCGTGAGGCTGAACTAGTGTTCTACTGGACACTGAAATTTTGATATTCAGTTGCAGTTTTCTTTTGTTCATTTTTGAATACAAAAGTAAAAGTCATATCCTGGTTCAAAGAGCATTATTTCCTCGTTTGTGTTCTTAATATTTTAATGTCTCAGATAATTTGTCAACCTGAAAATTCTCACGAGTTTTCAAATAGTGTGACATTGTTATATCGGCGAGAAGTTTCAGTATTCTTACAAAATACGGTGGTTATGGACTGCCTCTTTATATTTTTCAAAAGTGACTCTTAAACGACACGCAATTTGATTCCTTAGACGGAGTGTATAAAAAGCCAATACCTTATTTTTAGCAATGAGTGGTTCAAAAAGCAGACTGTCGATCAGTTTAATTGCCAACAAATACATTATTGGGGAATGCCATTTGGTTGTTATTTAATGAGGTGATATTTAGACGTCTGTACGCTCACGCATTTTCCGCACACTATTTGAACAGACTAAACGTCTATCGCTGTATCAAAAGAGACACTTGCGAAAACCTCGCGGATACTACGTTGAAGACTTTTAAGGTCTTCTGGTTTAACTTGTAAACTTATTTTTCGGTCTATTCACAAAACAAGAAGCCGTAGGTGGGTCGACCAGGGCTACGTGTACACAATTTTCAGGTCCTAGGTAGCTGATCTATCAGCCGGAAATGTTGTCATTACGAAGTGCTGCCACTCGAATCGCGAAGGTATTGCTCAACAGAATTGGAAGGCAACCTCTGAAATCATAAATAGTAAAAAGATCATCAACTTTATTTGATGTCACTTAGTGCTAGGGGGATCTATATAAAAATATTTGTTGGTTTTACAGCCATGACCTCTCTTGGTATCTGCGTAATTAAAGAGCAATAATAGGGTTCGTCGTTGAAATTTAAGTGTAAAGCGTGGTACGCAGATCCCAGCTGCACTGAGCAGTCATCGCTGATGGCGAAAAGCAATAACAGAGAAGGAAATAAATGAACGCACAAGACCTTGAGTTCACCTGGTAAAACCTTGAAATATCTGAAGACCCAAACTCGTGAATTTTCGTTTTATGAATGCTATGCATTTCCATACGTCTCAGCGATGCCCTGCAAGTGCAACAACATTTTGTAGCCTCCGAGTGCAGGGGCGCGAGTGTTTAGCATAAAGTGCTTCTAGCTCTCGTCGTCGGCAACCTTCGAGTGATGGTAAAATAAAAGCCAGAGAAGTTGTTTTGGAACTCCAACGGAAATAAAATGAGACATCTGAGCAATGGGCAATTCAACGGTGCTGGTTTCGCCACCTCTTTGACAGATCGGGCCGTGCTGTATTTGGTGCTACAGTCATAGTAACTCTGTGCGGCGCAGCAGCATTTCACCTGTGGACGTTCAGGCCTGTGTCACACCGTGGCCACGTACGCAATACAAACTACACAGTTTCCCCCACAGCGTGATTGGAGACAATAGCGTCAATGTATATAGAGCAGGGCCCAATATGGTTTGATCAGATTTCATTGCGTGAGGTGCGCAGCTGCAAACATGCACTATACCCATTTCGAGATTGTGATTGACCTCCTACCAATCTGCTGGGCTTGTAGCCATTTGATGTTAATATGCACTCTCGTTTATTCGAGATCCAGGCGATTTTAGTTGCGCACCACAACTAAAACTCAGATGCCATGCCTTTAGTGTGCTCCGGCCGCCATGAATTGCTGTGAGGTCACCTTCTGGAGCGAATACTTATGTCAGAGGGGCTTGTTTATAACTCACCTAAACATGTTAGCAACCAGAGATGCCAGTTGTTCAAAAGTTCACTCCATAACGTTACTTGATACATGATTTCTAGGATTATGATCCATGCCAGCGAAATGCCAACATGCTATTTAGGAAAATAACCGATCTACTTTCACATTATATCAAAGGCAAGCTGTCGACATGGAACCTAATTACTCGTGATATCTGAAAAAGAGGACTATATTGATTGCTGCGTATGCCAAATTTAGTTTGAGCCTGTTGCTGCCGCTTGTATCGCATAGCTCAATCAGTCGATGGACGTCGATTGCAAACATTGGGTTCCGAGGCTGAAGGTAGTATGCTAATTTTCTTTTCACTCGCTCCCCACCAGACGGCTACACGGTCCCCCGGGGCACGACGTGTTTCCTCTTCACATTCATGCTCCATCGAGACAAGGAGATATTTCCCAACCCAGAGGTGTTCGACCCAGACAGGTTCCGGCCCGAGAACTGTGTTGGAAGGCATCCATTCGCCTATGTACCGTTCTCGGCCGGACCGCGCAACTGCATAGGTAAGTACTAATTTGAGGCCGAAGAAAGCTGAAACCAGAGTTATGAAGCATGACAACTTGCGCGAGTTGGTAGGTCATAATTGAATCTACGAGAAGCGCAACCTAGAAGTAGTCACAGCGTAACTGCGAAAACGAAAAACGACGATAGAAATTATCTTGTTTTTCGCTTCCGTAGTTGCGGAAGCGATCCTTGTTTTTCCTTGTTTTCCGCTTCCGCAGTTACGCTGTAATTGCATCTAGGTTGCGATGTTCGTACATTCAGTTGAAAGCAGGGCACTAGAGCTCGCGAATAATCCAATAAAAGTCAACCGTTTTCCTAGCCTTCGCCACACCTAAATGAATGTATTTCGTTTTGAAAATGTATAGTTACTATACTCCAGGAGAGTGGAAAGCATCGATTATTACGTTTTCGTGAATGCAGTCTACCACAACTATCATGAGATGTGTAATTGGAAGAATGCAAGACCACAGATGCATAAATGTCATGTATTTCATCATCTTAGTGAGTAAAGGAGTGAGTGAGTGAGTGAGTGGGACAAGCTTATTCGTATCCTGGTAATGAAAATATTTCTTACTAGAGTTGTAAATTTTATTGCAAGTGGAAGCATTGTTGTAGCTGCTGGTTAGTACACGCTCATGGATCTTACTATGAAATATTGAGTGAGCAACGCACACAATCACATTGTACAAACAATTATGTACAAGATCTGAAATGCATTTGTGCGAGTCATTAGTCGATAATATTGCTAGTTCCTGAGTCAGAAAAAATTGTTGCATTGTTTTTTGCCTTTTTTTTATTACGACGTCTTGGAGATCTTTCTACCATTTTCCCGGTGTTACAGTTAACGCATGCCAAACATTTTTCCACTTCGCTACACCGAAGGTGAGCTATGCAACAAAACTTCTGGAGCGTCTCATGGTGCACGAGCAGCAAGCACATGTGTAAGGCGAACGGCTCATTCGTTTTTCTGTTCGCAGGTCAGAAGTTCGCCCTCATGGAGGAGAAGGTGGTCTTGTGTTCTGTACTGCGGAACTTTTGCATCCAGTCCGTTGACTTCAGGGATAAAATTCACCTTGTGGCGGAACTGGTGACGCGGTCAAAACATGGCCTGAAAATTCGGTTAAGGCCGCGCTAAGAAGTGCGTATTTTTTCTCGCTGTGCAACGCAACGACCTCCTGGGCGGAACTCGAAAAAGCAGACCTCCATCGCATCGAGTCACGGAATGGCGAAGGCAGTGTCCGTGCTTTCTTCGAAGCGCCCCCCAAGTAAGGCAGCCAGCATGCAGAGCTTTCGGATCACCGGGGAACGTGTGATAGCCACGGTAAAGACAGCACTGGCCCAAAGTCCTGGACGGCCCTTCCCCAGTCGCATCGGAGCTCCGGAGAAAACAAGCACCACACCTCCGTGCCTGGTTTCATTTTTTTTATTCGGGTGACTGACCCATGTTTGGATGGCCACCAAGTGATCGCGACTGTGCCGGGTGTGACGCAGAAAACCTGAACCAAGATTTGCCTGCGCCTCTTGCCTGGAACTCGTTCCCCCTTGTAAATATGTTCACCCGCCCTCTCTCGGACTGACTGCCTCGCCAACCCTCCATCGGCACGGAGCCGGTGTCTCACTCCTTGAAGCCACAAAATTATTTTACGCAGTCTGTGTGCGTGTACGTAAACTAACCCTCGAAACTAGGATCAGTCCCGGTGTGTATGCGAAGTAGGGAGTGCATGTGCGTGCGAATGTGTGTGGATACCTGCACCGCGAGACCTCAAGAACCAGCGTCTCTGGTGGGGAGTGCCTCCTTCGATTTCCTTGTGGGTGGCTCGCGATACAGGCAGCGTCACCCGGATTCCTCATGTATCTAAACGAAAGCAAACAAAAAAAGACATCGCTCTCTGGTGCGCGTAGTGCTAAGTGACACCGCACGTCTTCCAACTTGGACACAAAGGCAGCATTTGATCAGCCAAGATTTCTCGTCAGATGAGTTCTCTCTCCACAGTGTGCCAACACATCGACTCGGCTCTTTTGAGGATCAGCATCTCTCCCTCAAAGCAACTTCACAAAAGAAAAAAGAAAACGTGCACACCTTGCCTGTTTAACACCAATAACCACACTTCAGCGTTTGAGGAGAAACGACTTACGCGTTGCACCTTTGTCTATATACTAGTCCACTTTTGTTAATGAAATATTTTCTTTTTGTTGATTTTTTTCTGCGCGGTGTGGTTCTTAAAATTTCTGGAAAAGAGTAACATCTTCCACAAAATTTACGCCAGACGAGCAACTTGTGCCCGGCGTGGGCTGCGTTCCTAATCGTCGTGGAAAGTGACCCAGCGCTAGACCGCAAGCGCTGCTGAAACCAGGCATGGTATTTTTAGCAAGTCCCATCAACTGACAAGGGACATATTGCTCTGGAGACCCTGCGCAGACTCCTCTACACGAAACGTTTTGTTTTGCAAACGCACAATACTTTGACTACCAAAGATAACCAGAGCAGGCCTAAAAGCTCTCGACAGTTATAAGAACGAAACGCAACTTTCTCGCTCTCAACTTTCTTTGGGGTACCTCGCAGCTACAGCAGTGGTATTCTATGCCCCTGATGCTTTACTCACCAAAGTGGTTTTATTTTTTCTGCTTTCTAGGCCCTTTCTAGAAAAACACGTCTACTGATGCATGTGCCGCTCATTTCCCTCCAGAGAACGAACTAATTTTCTAAGCATCTAGAAACAGTAATCTTGGCGCCTATTTAACTCAACACTTGTTTCTTGTTATCTTCTTCCTAGACAATGTTCCAGTCAAAGGTGTGCTTGTCTGTCTATTTATTTTGTTACATGGTGGTGCGTCGAAACGCCCCTCTCTTTGGCTGAATGAAGACAAGAAAGTGCTCCGCTGCTGTTGTGAACGAAAATAATAAAAAAAGAGAACAATCATAACATGCCAGCACGTATCTAAATGGGTAGCTTAGGTTGGGTACAGGAGGTCATAGGCCAGTCGCCAGTGTAGTTTAAGAAACGAAATGCGTCTTGTAGAGGTAAGAGTGAATAAAATATGGCAAAGGGCATATTCTACAGGGCCAGAGAGATTTTTCCGCACGGTTTCCGCGCGTCAAAGCAGCTGCCAGGATTTATTTGTTTTGCTTACGAAACGAAACTCGAGTTCCTAAAACATACCACTGGAAAGAAAAAAACGGGCAGAAATAAAATAACGCCAATATTATCAGATTACAAAGTAGACAATATCCTTCACTCTCTCTCTATGTGGCCTAAAGCAAAAATTTAGGACAATTAGGTAGTTTCTTGGCAAGATATATACGACAGCTATTCACGGCTATATACTTATCGAGCAAAAAAACAGCGCGTGTAATGCAAGCACAGTACGAACAAGTCATCAACGTAGCTGTAATATAGTGAGGGATCAGGTAGCTTAGTCGTCACTTTACAAGGCCTCTGTTTTTTTGTGCGCAGCGCCATTGCACTTCACGCCCTCTGACAAAGATGTGTAGCGACTTGAGCGCCTTTTTATGGGTTTACTCGCAATAAACCAGTCTAAAGAGTGCTGTTTAATCATGTTTTGTATAAAACGCAGAGCGTTTGAGCTTACGTAAACATAATTTAGGAATACGCTCAAAATTTCAGAGCGTGCAGCACTTGTACAGGATGCCACCACAGAAGTAAAAATAAACTATCTAGATGCGGCAGTTCATCCCACAGACTTGCCCGCAAGTTTATTTTTCTCGAGAAAGCTCTTCCTTCCATTCAATATTTTTCGTCATGTATGAGGAAAGTCAGCAAGGCGAAAATCCAATTTGTAACATTCGGACTAGTAGAGCGCTTGCCATACGGCACACATTTTAAGGTGAGCCCACGCGCCAGTCCAGCAAACTGCAGTGCAAGTGGAAGGATATCTGCCGCTCTTCAAAAGCACGGAATTTCCCTGTCACCACGAACGTTACATTAGCCAGAATCAATCCAACATTGTAGTGTTTGCTTAACCTGAGATTCGTGCCTTGTGAAGCTGATGGCAGGGGTCGTGATTGGAAAAGTATGTGGTACTGTGTTATATTTTCATTGCTGCAGAAGATGCTTGAACTCTAGGCTAAAATTTCACTCCCAATCAGCCGCTTAACTCACTCGTATTTTCATTATCTTTCATTGATTTGTGAAAACGTTACTTACTGGCCTTACCAAAGAAATCGAACGCATTATTTCTGCTTTGAAGACTGACGATGATGCCTGTCTGACGCAGATGTGCATAGTGTGCTAGCTCTCACGAGAAAGCTTTTTGGTCGATTTCGAAGAAAATGTGTTACGATTGGCGCCGAAACCTTACACTCTCCAACAGTCCTGGTGATCTAACTCGAGTGCCAGTAGAGTACTTACGGACACTTTTTTTTGGTTTTAATTCATAATCAAGTTGTACCACACCATAATCTTAAAGAGCGCTGTCCCCTTTACAGCTCAACAATGTTGTCCAGTGGGATCGGCGGTGCTCATAATGACTACTAGTCTCCTGTACATAGACAAGGCTACTAGGCACTTCGTTCCTGTCTCTGTGAACACGAAACCAGTAGGCTCTAAATAAAGCAACGTAAAGGAACACCCACCCGGTCTAAGATAGCTAGTTTCGCATTCAACACGTGGAGACCTGTGGGGCCGCTCATGTACATATCTATGTGTGTTTTATGAGGGGGGGGGGGGATGCCCTAGCACAGCATGATCGGACCTGAGCTACAGTGCTGTGTTCGTAGATTGTCTCGCGTGGTAGGGCGTGCCCTGATATGTAAAATAAGTGGCGTTTAATAAATTGTGCCGTGAGTATTTATGTAACTACCAACAAAATCTTCGTTGTCGTCTGGGTTAAGATAGAGCTACGGAAAGACTTAGTGTCCACTGTTTTCGGAGTTTCTGAACTGGTGAGCCAAGGAAGCGCACAAGATGATGCCTGAACCCGTATTAACAGAACTTGTCCCACGTAAGTGCAGCTCGCGATTGGCTATTGGCGCGGATAAGGCATCGTCACAATGCGGACCACTGTCGATTGTTGCGTTCCCAAACGCCGGTCAATCAAGAAGTACACTTACGTAGGATAACTTTGCTGAATACGGGTCCAGAAGAAAGGCTCTACGAAAGGTAAGATTCTACTATGGTGGAAAGCACGTGGCTGTTTACCTCTAACCCTAATTTTTGTGCATAGCCCTTGTGACAGGTGAGAAGAAACGGCTTCTGTGCTAAAAATGATAGTAACAGGTTGCCCTGTGCACCTGCTTCACAACAAAAACTGATGCTATCAACAACAACGTTGAGGCCAAGTACCATAAATAAATTACGTTCACGGAACCTATGTTTATAAGATACGTTGCGTTTTGAACGTGGTGTACGCGCTCTAGAATGAACCAAGAAATATGACGTTCTTGGTTCATTCTAGTGCGGTTACCTACCCATAAAATGTGAGACTGCACGCATGATGGGATACGACAGAATGGCTATGATGTGTTGAGTCACTGAACTGTCCAACTTGAATCAGGTTTTTGTTGGTGTGATGTCAGAAAGGGAGGCGAAACAAGACAAACTAATCGTACTGAAAATCCGGTTTGCTTGTCCACACTGCGGGACGGGAGTAGAGGAGATGGAAAGGTAAGAAAAAAGGAAGGGTGGCCTTACACAGGATTAGGCAAGGATGTAATTTTCGCTTCATAAATGAATCTTGCGATTTTCACTTCATGCCTTTACAGGTCTGGTAATTGTCCAACTCGATCGGCTGAATTTCATTATAAATATTACGCTTAATGGTCGCCTTTCCGATAACAACCTTATGTATTACGTAAATAACTGCCTCACGTGACACTATAACTTTACTGCCCCTGCGCTAACCTTTGTTCGATGAGTGCTGACGTGGTGGATGACTTTTATTATGATACCAACATCACACCCACATTAAAAAATTACACTATCTCCCACTAAAAGGAACTATGTGTACATGCGAAGCAGTGGGCGCTAATGCCTTTACTGGTGGTGGCGTTGACCGTGGTGGTCATTGCGGCGTTGCGCAGGAGAGAAACCTAGAGAGGCGCAAAACACTCAGTGATGGACGAATGTTTCCTACTGGAACATGCCAGTCACTGATAATGGGCAATGAGAGACAGAAGACTCCAATTGGACACAGAGATCCACGGTCCACTTTTAGTTAACGCGCACGGTACACATTTTTAACGTTCAACAACGCACAGCAGAAATCTCCTTTAGGCACTATGTTGGAGGTCAATATCCAGTGCCTATATATACGGGATGGCCAGTTTACGGCTGTGCAGCACGAGCATTTGTTTTTTATTAAGAAACTCACTAGCAGACGCAGCCTGCGTTGGCGTTGTGAGGCGAGAGGGAGAAAGCATAGGAGAAGAGCGAAAGGCGCGCGCATGAAAAATGAGATGGTAAACGCCTCGTGGTAGGATGCCTAGAGAAGAGAGCGGGAACAAGCGCAGACTATCAGACGTTGGCATCGTCGGTGTTGTGAGGCGAGAGAGGGAGGAGCGTAGGAGAGGGCAGGGAGGGGCATGCAGGCGCAATGGGCGTGCAAACACCGTGGGGAGGAAAGTCCCATGTTGACAGGAATCATTCACTTCAAACCACGTGTGAAGTTTAAACAATGCGAGACATTAAAGCTCGTCAAAAACACCTCAAGTGACCCTCCCAGCTCAAGTTTTTCTTGTCTCGTTATAATTGGGGGAAAAAGAAGACACGAAACTCATATCTACTGGTCTCCAGCAATACTATCAGCCTTACCTAAATTCACGTTTATACTCACGTCTACTAACACTAATCTTGAGCACTAACATTTTTACAGCACTTCGGCATTTCTTAATTACAGGTGTTACGTGTGGGGGTGGGGGCATTGACATCCCCTCGCCAACTCTTCGAGTAAAATTTATGATAAATGTATCTTATGTTGTCATCTATATTAAGAAAAATGTCGTTACTCATTCGCACCCACTCAAAACTCGCATTCTAAGGTACTCTATCAAAAGGCGCTCAATATATCACCAATTACGTGAAATATTGGTGTTAAAATCATTGAAAACATTGTCCAAAAAGCTAATACTAGGCTAATGAACTCAGGAGTTGACTCTCTCGGGCTCACTCAGCCTGAGATTGAGCCGTTACTCTGAGTTTTAGTCAGTCCGGGTGAGTAATATTTTGGTGAGCTTGAGTCCAA